CGGTCGGAGCGTCGCAGGCGGCGGCGGACACGTCGGGTCAGCGCCACTCCACCGCAGACACACGCCCAGTACCTTTGTAGTGCACCCGCAGGTTGTTCTGAGAGAGGCCGATGTAGCTGAACTTGTCCTTCGGGCTCCAGGACGAGGCAGCGGCGTCTCTGCTCGTCCACGGCGGGTAGAGGCGCTTCAGCCGCCGCTGCAGCTCTTCTCCTGCTCGTTCAGGGCCGAGTCCCCGTGCGGGAAGGGGGCGCGGCGCTGCTGCCGCGCCAGGGTGGGCCGGGCGCCTCCGGCCGGGCAGGGGCCGCGGCGAGGCCGGGGGCGCGGCGCGCTGGCGGGGGGGCCGCAGGCGGGGGCGGGGGCGGCGGGGGCGGCGGGGCTGCGGTGGCCGGAGGCGGCGCGGCGGCGGGGGGGAGGCAGGGCGGCGCCGCGGCCCCAAGCCCGCCGCCCGCGCCGCTCCGGCCTCCGGGCGACCCGGCCGGAGAAGAGCCGGCGCTGACGGCCGCGGGCGCGGGCAGGACGACTCCGGAGACTGGGGCCACCGCCGCCGGCGGTGGCGGCGGCAGCTGCTGCTGCTGTTGTTGTTGCTGCTGCGGCGGCGGCGGCTGCCCGGACATCCCGGCCGCGACTCAGCCTGCGGCCACCTCCACCTCTTCCTCCTCCTCTGCTTCCCGGGGGCGCTGTCGCTGCGGCCGCCGGCACCAGGCGCCCAGTCCGCCCGCCCCGGAAGCAGGCGGCGGGCCGCGCGCCCAGGGAGAGCGCGGCGGTTGGGGGGCTTGGCGACGCGGGAGTGGGCGGCGGGCCCGGGGAGGCCCCGAGAGAACGTTGGCCGGAGAGCGGGCGCGCGGCCCGGGGACTAGGCGCCCGGGGCGGGGGCGACGCGAGAGCGCGGGAGGGGAAGGCGCGCTGGCGGCCGCTGCTCTCGCGGCTGTTTCCCGGCGGGCGGGCCGGGCCGGCGCGAGACGCTGCGCGCGGGCGGCGCTAGGCGAGGGGGCGGGACGGAGGCGCGAGCTGCGCGGAGGGCGGGGGCGCGCGGGCCGCGGGTCTGGGCTGCGCGCGGGCAGGCGCCTCTCCGGGCCCGCCAGCCGCTCGCCGGCAGGGGCGCGGGGCTCCCGGCGCTGCGGGCCCCCCAGGCGCCGCCTCTCCCACGAGCCGGCCGCCGCCGCCGCCCCCCGCGCGGGCGAATCTCCTCCCACTTGACTTCTTTTTGTTGTCGTCGCCCCGCCTCCCCACGGCAGGGCTCCTCGGAGCCGAGGCGCAGCTCCGCGTCCAGGCGAGAGTAATCGAGCCCCGCTGGGGCCCGCGAGCCCGGCCAGGGGCGCTCGGGGACCCCGGGACCGGGCCGTGCGGCGCGGCTGGGGCTCCGG